CCAACTGTTGTCTAAATGTTTGAACTTCAGCAGTGAACACTACCGACTCTCAAGAGACTATGGGTGATAAAAGTCTGTTAAAAAACTACCATGAGGTGTACATCAATGATTATTAATTATGAGCCTTAGTAGCACGTGGTTTTGACAGGGGAACTGAAAACCAGTTTATGAAGAAACAAGTTAATGTTTCTACAAAATAAACACATTTTTGCTACAGCATCTCGGAATGCTTTTTGAACTCTTTAGTCCCATCACGAATATTTGCGACAAAGCAGTCGGAAAACATTTGCTGCAGTGAAGATTAAGCGGCTCGAAGATTTTTGCAAATTAATGAGTGACAAAAAAGTGCTTGCAAAAGTTAAGACCACCTGGGGAGACCCGTGTCCCGGCAGGCACTCGGTAAAACGGAGGTACCAAACAGACCAACACAACCTCAATTCTGGTGTGACGGAGCCATCACAGACCGGCTAAATTAGCCACACTGACTTGGTTAAGTTCCCTTTCCTGAGTTTGCTGCACGGCAGGGGAATCCCTTGCAGCGTGATGAGGTGATCTGGGAGGAGCTATTACCACAGGTGTTCCCGGCAAACAGTCCAGGAGAGTCTGAGCCGTTGTCCCTGAACAACCTACTGTAACTCCGAGGCTGGCCCCGCTTTGAACCGAGTGAACTCGGGAGGCTTCCTCCAATCTAAATTATTTTATGATTCTGTATCGATCTGTTAGCACTCTAGATTACCTGCTGCAATCGAGTTACACTTCTCTGCACTGCAAAACAGGGACACATTATCCTACTTTCCCTCCTGTGTATCCTACCCCAGCTTCCTCCTGGATGTCCATGGGAAGGTTTTACACATATCAGGACGGGGTGCAAGTCGTGTTCCCCGAGATCCCACGCGATCTGCTCCGCAAACGTGAATCCCAGCAGGGATTCTTAATGGGAACTTCCTGCATACACTCACCACAACCTGCATTAGTCTAAACATACAGTGAGAAGTATCAACAAAGCCAAACATCTATTTACAAACAAAACCAAAACCGGTAAGAAATGCTGATGTCGGTACTTGCTGAGGCGCTGGTCAAACACCGACAGGCAAAGATCAAGCACCACGGGAACCCAAAACCATCACAAAGCCTAAGGCTTCCTGAAATCCGGGTCTGTTTTGCATTTTACCGAGGCTGCACCATGGGAACCCTCGGCTTCGATGGACCCAGCCCTGAATCGCTGCCTCCCCCCTGTGCCCCAGCGCGGCACAGCAAATCCAACATCCTTCCATGTCCCAGCGCTGCGCTGCCTCCTTGCCCGAATTCGGGCCATCTTTGCTCATCTCCTGGAAACCAGATCCTGCCTCTTCCAGCTTCTCCGGGACCAACCCTCCTCTCCCTCCCAGAATTTTAGAAAGGTTTTCTTAATCTTTCCGGAGTAAGAACTTTCTACCCAAGGTCTGACTTCCCAAGGAACCCTTTGGAAGGCGAGCAGCGTTTACAACACCACGTACAGCACTTGCAGTGCTCTTCCAAAGCCTTCTCCCAGGTTCAAGCCCACGTCAGCTCTCCCAGCCCCGCGTGTTTCCAGGCGGATGTGGATCTGGATCTGTGGAGCTGCACGACACGCGGGTGACAACCCCGCACCTCTCCACCCAGACCTGGCGGCCCTGACACCTTCTGCTCTGCGGGGTCTGGCCGAGATGCAGTTCTTCACGTGAGGCTGCGGTTTCGCTCTGTGACGGCTCAACGGTGCTCGTACCGCACCGAGGGCTTTTCTCCCGCCTCCTCGGCCCCCGGGAGCGGCAGCGGCACCGCCCGGAGCCCCGCGCTGCTCGCGGGACCCGAGGGCGGCGGGAAGGGAACCGCGGGGCTCTGCCCGCGCTCCAGCCCTTCTCCCTC